ACCGCCGTTTGGGAAAACAGCAAGGCATCCAACTGCGGGGGCGCAGTTGTTTGAACACCTGATCCAATCTGTACTGGAGTCAAAGTCGATCAGGGCTGAACTGCTCCCAAGCCAGTGTTGTTTGGCTTCCGGAAGAGGCATCCTCGGGGGATGGCTCAGTTGTTGCATCGCAGCTGGGCGAGACATCAGGTTGCTCGGAATCTTTCTTCTGCTGCCACTTCCTTGCCAGGACCTGGGCCTCTGCCCAAGCCACTGCGACAAGCCCTGGCATAACTCGCTCACTCAGTGGCAAATCGTCGGCACTCCCCACGTAGAACTTCATCCCGAAGCCAAACTTCTGTGATTGTCCAAGGCCTTTCACCACAAAGCTTGAGTTGTCCAGCTTAACCATAATCTTGCAGCATCCTGCAGGCTTGACCGTGTAGGAATGGTTGCCAACAGGCGGTGTCTCAGGCATGGCATCCGCAGGTAAATGGAGGAGCGTGGGGTAATACTTCATCAAAATGTTTCCAAGCCGCTCCTTCTGCTGCAGAATGCTCCGCAAGTCTGGGTGGCTAAGCTCGTCCCAGTCCCCCGACTCATCACGCTTGCGTTTCCGCTCTGCGCGAAGGTCAGCCCGACTGCCGAAAATCACCGTGCTCTCGTGTTCAGACGACATGTTTGGAAACCTTCGGCAAAACTCGGGCCTTAATGACTGCGGCGATGCAAGTCAAGGGCAGGACGACAAGCAGCAGCAATGCCCGTGCACTCACACAGCAACAAAGCCTAGCAGTGCTCATGCACATGCGAACACCACACTCCGTGGCTCGATGCATTTTTTTCAATCCAAGGCCACACAACTTCAGCCTCAAAAACACTGTGCGTTGTGGCTGGCGGCGGGCCTGTCTCAGTCTCTACTCAGAGGAGAACACAGTGACTGGTTTTGAAGTTCCAGCTGCGTTTCCGCAGCTGGCGGCAGCACGCTGATTTGCGCGCTGATCTTGGTGCCATGGCGAATTCTTGATGAGGGGTCCAACTTGGACACGGCCAATTTGATCGAACTTGGTGCCAGGGACCTGGTCGGCGGTGTCGACCAATACAAACTCCGAATCCTGAACCTGCATGTCAGCGTCCTCTCCTTCTGCATCAGATTCATGCTTTACTGCAGTCATCTGCTCGATGTCATCAGGATGCCAGATGGCGTTGCCATGCAGTTCAATGTGCCTCAGGGTGCAACTGGTGGTAACGTTCGCTATCGCTACAAGCCGGACTTCACTGCTCACTTCAATAAGCAAAAGATGTATCATGACGAGCAGCGGAGGGAAGGAAATGCGATTGGCAAGGAGGGCAACGGTGACACGCAGTCAAAGTGGTATCACTTTGAGGACATTGCAGATGTACTTTGTGCGCCGTGTCGAGCGGAGGGAGCTCAATCCACAGCCAACAGTTTGCGCAATGCGAACACATAAATCAATCGCCAACGGGCCCATCCAGCAGAATACCATGAAGAGATTCTTTGCTGAATGCAGCCTGGTGCTCGGTGACATGAACGAGCTTGAGAGCACATTCGACGGGGACATGGATGCTTGTGTATCTCACCTGATCGTGAAGCTGTTCGACAAGAAGTTCGCGAAGGAGATGTCGCAGATCGGAGGCATCACGCTCGAGCGAGACGCCTTTGCTGATTTCTTCCGCAGTTTCAACGGGAAGCAACTGTGGGTCGACAAGCTGTCGTATATTGTCACTCATTCGGTTGGGACGAAAGAGAGAAAGACAAAATTCCGCGTATGGCGCGACTACGGAAACGCTGCACACGCTTCGTGGATGCGGTGGTTCCTCGGTCAAGAGCAGGCGTACCGAGTATAGTACTCTCCACCGACAACGAAGAGAAGTTGGGAGATGGGCTGGAGACCGTCCTTGGGTTCTTCGACGTCATATCCTACTTCGGAGAGGAGTTGCCAAAATGCCGACCAATGCTGGAAGCCACGTTCCTGAAGTTTGTCAGGGAGAATAGACCACTCACATGACAGGCCTCAACAGACTGTCAAGAACATCATGGACGGGCTGGCGTACACGAATCCATGCATCAATCTCGAGGAAGCCAGTTCCCCAGGCCAGAAAAGAAAGGCGGGCGAGGACGATCGTGGTTGTGAACCCGATCATGCCGAAGAGTCTGAAGCAAAGCAATCAAGAGTCGGGGACATCGCCACGAGACGAGCAGAACTGTTGCAGATGCTCGAAAATCTGTGCGATCGCGCTGGCAAGCTCAATGTTTGCATCATGTGCGGAAAAGAGTCCCATGACGGGACATGCGCAGATATGACAAGAGCAACGGAGTCTGACTTGGCCCGTGAGAAGATACAGAGGCTGCTTCTTCCAGAAGGACACCCTTCATCCGATGAGGACATTGATATGGAAGATGGCCGACATGGCAGAAGGAGGTGAACTCCACGCTGGTCAAGTCGACTTGCGCACCAACAACATGCTCGGTTCGTTCGGTGGAGCAAACCCCTCTGTGATTCCTCAACCCGGTGTTATTAGCCACGGCGACTTGTTCCAGACGTCAAAAGCGCTGGTGAAGATCCTACGCCATCAAATTGGTGCAAAGAGGGGCAACCATATTCCTTGCAACGGTGGAGGATGGGTGAACATCGACCGCATCCTGGACCGCGAGGACGTACGTGTTCCCGCAGCATCGGTGCAAAAAGGGCGGCAGATTCCAAATCATCGCCGAGTGCATCAGGTCAGAAGATCGGAGAGCACGGAAGCCGAGACAGCAAATCCTCGCTGCGAGATTCGACCAAGAGATGCGGCTGGATGGACAAAAGAGAACATCGACTGGATTCGTCGCGAGCGCAACGGATGGTGGCAACCATGGTGCGTTCGAGCATCGTCAGGACATTCGGACTTTGGTTTCGCTCGTCCTGCTAAGCTTTGCAACATATTGTTCCCGAACATGTCCGATCGCTTGGGCGGAGCATTCCACGTGACAAAGGCATCAGCCCTGGAAGGCATCATCTTGCGAGGCGTTGTACCTGGTGGCAACGACAGTGCGCGAAGATTGGCAGTACACTTCGCAGTGTTTGCACCTTGGGGCCGCGAGAACATCTCGCCATCTACGTGCCAACAAGAAAGTTGTCCGGGTGGGACAATTGTCGCATTTGAAACCATTCCCTTCAGGCGATCTGGAGCTTCGAGTCTGGAAAGGACCTGTCAAAGAGGTCAAGCGGATCTACTCCCGCGTCGTCGAGAGCGAGATCTGTCCAGGATTCAGGGATGCTGCGGGCGTGACCCCAGCGGACTTTCTTGGAAACCTCAACAGCTTCTTGAATGATGAGGGCTCCGCAGACGCCGAGATTCTGAAGAAGATGGGTTGTCATGGCGTGCATCAACGTCAACGTGCCCGAGATGTTGAACAACTGGTTGGTCGAGGTCAGGGACTTGCTCAGCAGGTTCATTGTCTACCGCAAGGATGACCCGTCCAACATTTCCAACAGAGTATGCCCTGCATGCGCCATCATCATCCCCAAGAAATTTTGCTATTGCACGGCATGCGACTGTGAGCTCATTTCCACCGGCAAGTTCGTGATGCATGTGGGCGAGGACGAGCCCAAAACATCCGACACCACCAGGGTGACGGAGGAAGTGAAGCAAGCTCAGCGCGAAGCAAAGAAGGATGCTGAGCGATCGTCGCCGAGGAAGACTGACCCGACACCAACGAGATGAGAGAGGGACGATCCGCAGACAGATCGTACATCCCCTCCGACATCGCAACGGACGTCGACGAGGATGAAATGGGAGTCTGTCGCCAATGCTCCCAAATTTAAGAATGTGAGGTTCCAAAGTGCGAATCACAGGGATGAGGAGACGTTCTATTGATCCCTGAAGCTGAAGGGCTATACTTGATATATCGGATCTGGACCGCATGCAATATCCTTGGTATCAAGGCAGAGCAGTTCAGAGGCATCAATCACCAGAAGGACACCGCCTTCGTAAGTGATACGGTTTTCCGATGCATTGCCCTTGGCCTCAATTGCGAACACATGACCTTCTACCGAACAGATGTGCTCATTGGTCTGATGGAGGGCAAGTAGAAGGGCAATCGCGACGTCATCGCACTGGTGACCAAGCATTTCCAAACGATCACTACTATGGTAGCTGGAGATTTGCATTTTGACAATGGGATCGTGGTACTCATCGTGCATGGCACCATCATCAAACCTAAAGTATTTGCATGAGACTAGCATTTGTCACCGCAGAACATTTTCATTTCCGTACAGTATCGTCACCAGCGACGGCTATTCTTGCCAGGTATTTGGAATTCGATGCTACAAATCATTGTTGGCTACAAATTGGTGGTGGACTACGCTCGTCATGTTCGTTTTCTGCAGACTTTCCTGGATCTGTACCATTACTTGATTGATCGTTTGCTATATGTGCGTCAATGCACATGAGGTCCGGTATGCGACCTGTAGCATTCTCGTTTCCTGTTAAGTATACAGAACCTGGTCAAACTCGTGCAGGGACGTTTCACAGAATTGGATAGGAAAAGCCGTGCGTCCATGCGTGTCGGCATGTGGTTGTGAATGGTTCCCGACCCCGGGATGAACCCGAGCCCAGGATGGAGGATGCTAAGAATCTCCGGGCCATAGGCCTAAATCCCAAGGGCAGGTTCTGAGGGTCACCCTGTTCTCTTCCCCTCCTTTAAGGTCCCTCGAACCTTTGCGGATATGTTGTTGTGTGAACAGCCGACGCATGCATATGGATGCTTTGACTCAAGACTAATATCCAACGGAAAGCTGTAAAGAAGCAAACTGACCGTGCTCCGCTGTTGCAGGCGGTTGTGAGACAACGCAGACCACCCCTATTTACAACGACCCCTACTACACGGCTTTACAACGTCACCCCACGGGAATCGAACCCTAACTGCCTTGTCACTGACTTCGTGGATGGCTCGCCTGCTGGCACCTGTAAGTGTGGCGTGTTCCGTTCCTGCCGCTTCGATGTTTGATGCTTTCCAGGTGCTTCTTGGTGGCCGGAGTGGGGATGGTGGCACCTTTGCCCAGCCTTTAACGGAGGTGCACCACTGCAAAAGGACACGAGTGGTCGAAACACTTTCGCATGTGCGCTGGTTTGCGCCCCATCGTGTTGTTGTACAAAAGTCTTGGATGCAAAGGGCACTCATGTTCCCGAGGAGTGCTGGGGAGGCGCAACGAATTCAGCACCTCGGGGGCCGCGTGTGGCATGGCCGCCTAGGCCGAGAGAGCGATGGATGGCTGGGTCACACTGAGATAAAATGAGATCTGCAGCATGTAATGACAGAGCACATGCGCACATGCAAGAAGCATGCAGGCCATCCAAAGATTAGTCCGCAGGCAGGACTTGTTGCTTCGCATGTGTGTCATATGCAGCCCAGCCCCCCCACCCCCCCCAGCTCCCCACCCCCCTCCCCTCCCCGTGGCGCAAATAGGGCCCAATCGATCTCTAAATATCCCGTACAACCAGTAGGAATGACGGAGCAATCAAGTGCTCCGTGTAGTGACTGAAAGCCACTGCGTGCGGGATGCGCAACAGAGCATCAATCATGCTATGCGTTCCACACGCAGTGTATCGTGGCAAGCAATGTGCAAGGCTTCCTATATTGCTAAAAGGGACTTGATTTACTTGGATTACCGTAAACCGCTATTGCGTTCCGTGCATTCTGCTTGATGGACACTGGTTCGACAGTTCACCAGTCACACCAGTTCCACTCATTGTAGCGAGAATAGGATGAACGGGCGCCCCAGCCTCTGGCGTCTTGTCACTCCCGACCGCGGAGCTGGGCCTAGTCGCTTCAGCTGCGCATACTGCCGGTGCTGCGCCTCCTGTTGCCGCTGGTCGAACACGTTGAACTCGGGCGTGCTCTCGGACACGCTCATCGCGCGCAGTTGTACCTGCGCTCGCGCGCGCTTCCGTTCTTGTCAGAGGTGTGCCGGATGTAGCAGACAAGCGGGCGGTGATAGTCACAGTCGCGTTCTCCGAGCCGAAGATCCAATGGCTCGAGATACGGTGCAATGACCGTAAGAACACGTGGAAATTCGCTAGTGCGAAGCTGAGACCTTTGCAAGACAGCGGCCGGAGTCTTGCCCCAATGAAGGGCGTGTCCAATATGGCCGGCTTCGGGATGAATGGCGCCCCGAAAAATGAGCTGCTTAGGTATGGATCTATTCCGATGAAGGATATCACATGAGGTAGAAGACCAAATAGGAAAATAGCAGCGTTTTGTTTCCAATAAAGCAAATATCTTTTCTTCTGCTTTGTGAGAGAGCAAGCCATATACACCAGGCTTGAGTCAACGGCGATGGTGAATCGCACACGCGTGGACCTGTAGAAAAGCGCAGACAAAACAAGAAACAGCCTCCCCACTCCCGATAAAGCCAAATGTTGCCTTTAATGTTTCTCGCGCGTTGGCGGACGACAGCGCCTGTGCGACTCTCAGGTGCTTTCCCTGTCAGTGTCTAGGGCCATTGGGGACCTCTTCTTCAAAGACGAGAAGTGCGACCGCTGCGACCAGCTCAAGCTTTAAGTGAGTTGGGCTGTCCCCAAGGTTCACTGGCGGGGTGGCGTCTGGCCTCACAGCAGACCCCTACATCAGCTCGGCCGAGGAGTGGCGCGGGCGAGAGACAAGATCCAGAAAGTTCATAGGTCGAGATCCGTGGGTCGTTGCTTGAGTTGTCCTCATGTGGCGTTGGCAAAGTTTTGGCAAACAAGTGCTGTTCCTCAGCCAGTTCCAGCAGTTTCCAGCTTTCGTGCGTTTGCAAAACCAATCAGGGCTGGCAGTCTGACAGTGCGGGAAACGCGCGCGCCCTGAACTCAACGCAGCCTGAACTACGACGGGCGCACGGGTGCAAGTTGCATGTTGCTGGGGCGCACGTGCGCAGGTCTGCCGCGGCAGACTGGTGCACGAGTTCTTGCTCATCGGCTGCGACGGGCTGTGGGACACGGTCAGCTACGAGGAGGCGCCCTGAAACACGCAAGGGAGAAATTTGGAAGCGCTTTACTTGACCCAAACAGCACAGCCTAGTCTCATGTTTCGAGGATTCGGCGCGCATTTTGAGAGCGCAAAGTGCACCTTCTGCGCACTTGCGGCTGGTCGAATCGCTCTCGCTGTGGCGCAGCGCGCGTTCTGCGACGAAGAGACATGGCGGGAGACTTTGTTTTTATTTCTCAGAAGTGTCGGTTGATTAGAAGCTCAGAAGTGTCGATCAGAAGTGTTGCTCAGAAGTATCAACCGCGAAACCAGCGTTTCAGGGCAAAACCCCTGCCCGTTTTTTTCGGGAGGGGGGGTAAATGCGCACTGCTTCATTGAGCCAAATCTTGACAATTGCAACCAGGAAGTAGGAACACTGAGCACATAGGCACACAGGGCCAAAGATGGATCAAGCTCCCTTAAAACCTTTCAACAAACCCAAGCCGGGCAGAGAACGAGTGTTATGGTATCCTATATGTCTATCTGTATCTATTTGTCTACGTCTCTATTTATCTATCTATCTATCTATCTATCCATCCATCCATCTATCGTTGTATTTATCTATCTGTATGTTGTCGTATTTGTCTATCTATCCAGCAATCTACCACCATCCTTTCCCAGGTGTCAATTCATCATAAACAGCAGCTTCATTCTTCGTCTTGCTACTTTTGTTCTTGCTGCAGCAGCAGGTGATCCTAATTGTGCTAGTGCTTTTCTTCGTGGTGCCTTTTGATTTCGGTGTTGTTTTAGGTGATTTCTTTGCTGTTCTTGATCGAGCGGTCTACCTAGCTATCTACCTTTCCTATGCGTTCTATATCTATGCTCCTGTCTCCAAACACTCGCTTGTCGAAGCTACGTGCGACCCTTCAAATTATGGCGCCGGCCAAGAAATCGGTGTGCTCCAAAGTGCTGCGCCTGCCACGAAATCCGCGCGTGACCCTCCAACATAGCGCGCTTGTCACGCAGATCAGCGCTGCGCTTGCCACGAAACTTGCGCGTTGCTCCAAATGCATCGCCTGCCAGGAAACCTGCGCCGAAGCGCCAATTGACAGGTTTCACGCCCGCCGAATGAGCTGATTGCGCAAAAGGGCAAGCCAAAATTACCCTCGGGCAAACACTTGCGCGTGCCTGCCAAGCACGACGCCACCCTGAAACGCAAATCGCAGCGGCGGGGCAACGTTGCAACAGACACGGGAAGCAGCCAGCGGCTCCATCGGACCTGTCACGCGTGGCTGTTACTTTAAAAGTAAACAGTGTGGCAGCCATACCGCGGTGCCTCCGCAGACTCAGTGCAAAGTGCCCAGCGTGTTGGTCCAGCAACCCAGCCGCGCATGTTACGATGTAGGGGAACTAGCAAGCTAAGCAATGAACGAGTTAACAAACTAATTGTTCCGGCTGCGCTGAAGCACCATCGTAATGTCGCGTCTTGTTAGTTCTTCATCGCTCCCAGATGTAAAACCCGATTGGTTGACTTGTTCTGGGTGGACAGGCTGCCCTCGTGTTTGTGTGGCGCTTACTTTTGGTTTTTTGCCCCCCTTGTGGGCTTTTCGGCAAAATGATCTACAGGGTCGCGGCTTGGTTGGTTTGTGAATAGCTTCACTTGGCTGAACTAGCTCAGTACTGCGGGATTTGTTGGCGGTGTTTTCTTGGACTCTGCGGGAGTTGTTCATGTCGTGATATATTTCTTGAGGTCCATCTTGTCGTTTTGTCACGGCGCTGGACGCAGTGGCTTCACCGTACACTGCTGCCAGAGAAATTTAGGTTTTCAAGCGCTGACTTTGAACTCGAGATTGCCTTCGGTTGTGTGAACTTGCGTTGAGTGTTGGGTGCACATAAAGCGGGATAGCGTACACAGAACAGGGTGCGCCGAATGAATTCGGGAAGGACCTTGGCTGGTGCAAAAAATTAGAGCCTCCGGCTCACTCCGCCAACATTGGCCTCTCCCTTGTCTCTTCCGTCTCTCTCTCTCTTTGTTCCCTCGTCCTTTCTCCTTCTCTCTCTCTCCTCCCCATCCTCCCTCTCTCTCTCTGTCCTCTTCATCCTCCCTCCCTCTCTCTCTCTCTCCTCTTCATCCTCCCTCCCTCCCTCCCCCTCTCTCTCTCTCTCTCTCTCTCTCTCTCTCTCTCTCTCTCTCTCTCTCTCTCTCTCTCTCTCTCTCTCTCTCTCTCTCTCTCTCTCTCTCTCTCTCTCTCTCTCCCTCTCTCTCTCTCCTCCTCCTCCCCTCTCTCTCACTCTTTTCTAGATTCCCTCTCTCCCTCCTCTCTATGCCTCTCTTTCTCTCTCTCCCTCCTTTGTATGCCTCTCTTTCTCTCTCTTTCCTTTCTATGCCCTCTCTTTCTCTACCTCTTCGCCATGCTTCCCTCCTCTCTATTTCTCTACCTCCGTCGCTGCCTCTCTCTGTCTCCTCTTCTCTCTGCCCCTCCTCTCTCCGCCTCCCCCTGTCTCTGTCTCTATCTCTTTCTCTGTCACTGTCTCTCTCTCTGTTTGCATTGCAGCGTCATGTCTCCTGAATTATCTTCTTACTACTGGCTTTCCGCTTGATTTCCTTGTGTCCCGTCATTTCTTATGATTTCCTCGTCATGTCCCGTTCCCTTCCTTTCAACTCCTCCTTCATTTCCCTGTTATTTTATCGGCATTTCGCCTCACTTTCCTGTCATTTTCCACTTCCTGTCCCTGCATGTCCTTGCATTTCCCTTTATTTCCATTCATGTCCCCTTTATGCCCCCTTATTTGACCCTTCACTTCCCTTGCATTTCCTACAGAACAAACACGCTAGTTTTCAACGTTTTCGTAAAAAGGTCAAAATACAGGGTTTTTCTAGGTTTGCCACACCGGCTCCCCGAAGACTATTTGTAGTAGAGCGCGAGGACGGGGGGGACGGAGTTATCCTCTATCCTTTAGGTGTTGCCCATACGGCCCAGTCTCGCTGTCCAGGCAGCAAACCTTGTTCTTGAGCGCCTGAGCGATGGCGAGGAGCCCCAGGTCATCAGTGAGGCGCGATCCGCGCGATCCGACCGCTCGGTTCGAGCGCACGCCTCTAGACCGCAAGGCGCTGGTGCGCGTGGCCCGTGATGCGGGATCCATGGACAACATCACAGTGATGGTGGTGGCCTTTTGAGAGGGCCTCCATCTTGACCATCTTGACCTTCGCGCTTCCTTGAGACAAAATCCACAGTCTTTTTTGCCGCAACGCGTTTTGCCTTGGAGTGGCTCACAGTTCGGAGCGGGCGCTGGGTTGATTGCCTCCTTTTCGTGTTCCTTGCGTGTTTTTCCGACTTGGCAACTTTCTGACAATCTCAACTCAGAAGCACCAGGTGGCCATGTACACAGTGTTGAAACCGCTGCACCATGTTGAGCAGCTCATGCAAAGTGACGAGCAGTTTGCGCGCCACGTCCATGCACACTTGTTCGGCGCGGAGGGTGTCCCTGTCTTGTGACACTTGGCATGTGTGCAAATTTTGTTGGGCTGCAAACGTGCGTGTGTGTGTGTATGACAAGGTTGCGAAGGAGGAGGGGGAAACTCAGATCCAACAACACAAAGCCAAACGTGCGTTCTGATTGAAACAGGATACGACCTTCCGTCGTACGTTGTGCTGTTGCGTCTCTGCCAAAGCGGTCAAAGAGAAAGTCAGCATTGTGTAGAGTTGCTCCGGTTTAGCTTGAGCGTGATATTCCTGTAGTTCATCGTCTTGCCACTTAAACTAACTTGGACCTCCGTAGCCTGAGCAAATCAAGTATCAACTGCGTTGCATGCTAGTTAAAGTTCAAGAGCAACAGGAAGAACAACCGTTTTACACACTCGAACGTAGGACAAGTGCAAAGTCTCTCACTTTGCCTGAAGGGGGCACGCAGCCTTTGTCTCCATGAAGTCATATTTGTCTTTCTCCGAGAACAGTTGGTCTTTCTCCATGATTCAGGCTGGTCTCAGTTGGGCACTTGTGTACTTTATGTTTGCGCAAGCGGGTTGCCTTCAGCAGGGCGCTGTTCTGGTTCAGGGCCACGCAAGAGGAACTCGCAATGTTGGCAATGTTTATTTGTTGGCGGCAGACACGCTCGCAAATCCTTGTGTCTGCAGAAATCCTTGCATCAGAAAACATTCCGAAACATGTAGCCGCACATATTCGAGTTCTGCAAAAGCCTCGTGGCCCCTCATTCCCATGATCCGCCATGGCATATGCCTCGCCGACAGCTGAGATCGCGTTCGTGTCCCAGTCCACAGGTCCACAGTCAAAAGCTTCGGGCCCGTTCGGGCTTTCACTGGCGCGAAAGAAATCGGTTAGGTGTTCAGCTTCGGGCCAAAAGGTCCAGGATGTTTCATTCATCCCAGCCACCCGCTCCCTATGGAGTTTTGCCCAGCTATGTTTGGGGAGGTCCTACTGAGGTGGGGTCTGTGGGTCATGTCTGGGTGGTCAGGCGTTTCTTAGCGCAATTTTCTGCATTTTGATCAGGGAGAGAAAAGAAAAAAAACGCCATCAAATCAGGTGGGCTAAGCAACTCGCGTCAACGTGTTGGTGACCCCTTCATTGTTCGGCTCGCCGAGCTGGCTGCGTGTGGCTCTCTTTTACAAGACAGCTTTGCGCGACGGTGGATCGAGAGCAGCGCTGGCGTGCATGCGGTGTGTCGGTGCGGTGCGTTGGCGCATGTTCCTTCACTCATGCGCTGGCGCTGGTGCTGGCCCTCCTTGCTGTCGCCTGCGCAGAGCTGCGCAGCTTTGGGTTGGTGCTAGGGCTTGACTTCTAGCGGCATGCCCTCTTCAGTGGAACTGTTCTTTGATGTGGACGAGATTGTGTCAGGACTAGACAAGGCCCCTTCAATACTCTCGCAGCAGTTTTTGCCCAAGCAAAAGGGTGTCGAAATACACAACCCTTTCACGCACCCCCCCGCTGGCGACTCAGTTTGGCCGCGTTGGAGAGGGAGTTGGGTGAAGCAGCAAAGGCAGCAGCGATGTTGTTTGTTATAGAACGACAAAGTCAACAAAAGTAGCTATCAGCAAAAGCACAGCTTTCACTGACTACTATACTGATGAAAGAGAAGAGCAGCCACAGTAGAAAATGATCAGCTTATAGCTCACGCACTAAGCGTTGAAGTTGATAGAATGTTAAATTTGGGGATACAGAGATACATTTGTACCTGCGCAAGCATGTGAGTGCAGCGCGGCAAGCGTACTACTTTTCCAATGCTGTAGGCTCAAGGCCTTGGGTTGTAAGTCGAAACTAAAAGTCAACTGTTCTACACAACATTACACAACTGTGTTCCAACTGTGTTCCAATTGCACCACATGTGTCCGGAGTGCCATCGAGGCAAGATGTCACACAAAACTGTTGATGTAGATCATTGTCTACGTCCTCATGCGCTTCTGTCTGTAGAGGATGTACTTGATGTAGTCAGCCCCTTTCTGTTCTCATGGATCTTGTTGATGTACTCGTGAGGTAAGACGCATGTTCGCTGTACCCTCTCATTTGTTCCAACGATTTTGCGAGCTTGTAGTACGAAACCGCGCTTGCTCATCCTTTGCGATCACAGATGTCAACCCTCTGCGGGCTCATGTAGCGAAGAGCTGGCCCGCAATCACTGTGTCCTTTTCCTGTGTGTTCTCAATATCGTCCACTTTGATCACCGCGTTGTTGTGGAGATAGCCCATTTCCAAAGTATAGAGGTTGTAGATGTTGAATGTGCTGTGCGTAGCACGCCAGGCCATGATGGTGTCGCGTTCCATTGCCATGTTGCATCGGAATACATCTGCACTTGCTGCAACATGTGTCTCCCGTAAGATTTCTTAGGGCCATTCGAAGACGCAAATTGTGTCTCTATCTAAGACAGTGGTTGGGCGCAGCTTCGCGTGCAACTGCGAACCACCAAGTGCTACGGCGGACCGCTGCCATCATTTGTAGCGGACCGGGGCAGCTGCCATCTATAGTAGACCGCTGTCTACAGCGGCCACGGCCGTCTATGGACCGCCGTCTACAGCGACCGCCCGACGCGCGCGATGCACGCGTGCTTAGGACGCAGAGGCGAAAGCGTGTTAAATCTCCGCAGCTGCGCTCCCGCCAGACATCGAGACATCGTGAATTGAAAGCAGAGAAAGCAGAGAAAAGTAGTACAAAAGCACGCCGTTTCATCTAAGCAAATAGCGCAGAGTGTAAAAGCGGCCGCGAAGCATCCTCACACTCTGCACCGTCGACATCAACAAGGCCAGGACGTCAGCCGCCAGCAACCCACCCGTCTACCCACAATGCCCGCAGGCACGCGCAGACACACAGAAGCAACCAGACACGAACAGACACGCGAGTCTGCCCGGACACACGCTGCCCGCAAACAGAGTAATACTTCTGGCCCGCAGACAGGAAGCGTTGCTCAACCAGCTCGCTTGAAACGAGCAGCGCTCGCACACTCATGCGTTTACGAGAGTATTTGCTAAAGCAACCCCCGAAGTTGTTGAAGGTGCAACATGGCAGTATGTCAATATGGCGAAGGGAAACTGCGCTTTCGCTGCAGGAGACATGAGCCTGGATCGCCTGGATGCCAAGACTGCGGGACAGCTAGCGGAGCTTTTAGTGTCGCTTCGTGTCCGTGCAACCGGGCACTGCTTGCAGGACTCCTTCAGTACCTGCTGCTCAGCCGCAGTCACAAGTTTCAGAGGGTCCAGGTTGTGGCAGTTAGTATCGGCGTCGGTGACACCGTTTGCGCCTTGCATTGCTCGTGCTTTGCAGCGTGCAAGCACCGCCTCTATAGCCTCTTGGAATGTCCACAATAAGATTGTGGAGGTTGCGCTGCTGAGGAGGGACCTGGGAGATGCGGAAAGTCGTTTTGCAGGTAGCAATTCAAAAGATGCGCAGAATGTTTGTGCATCTTACTTTTCAACGAGTTCATTGCTGCCGGCACTCACATGTGGCAGAAGCAGGAATGTCCAAAGGAAGGCCAGGAATGGGGGAAATTCTCAGAAGGCTCCTGCCAATCATTCCAGCAAAAAAGAAGCTACCCAAGTGCTTCTGTGATCACGCAGTCTCTGACAGGCTCTTGCATTTCCTGCAAATCCTGGTCCATGTGAGCCGTTTGAGCCTCCCAGGAAGCGCAGGACCATCGATGTCGCCAGCGCATCTACCTTTGATTGCTTGGGCCTGGAGTTGTCGAGCCAGGTGCAACTCACAGATTGGAGAGCTGCTTGCGTGTTGCAACCTGGAGGCCTTTGGTGAAGACATTCTGAAGGAGAGAAGGTTGCGTTTGATGACCAAGGCAGCGCCCGTTCTTTTTATTCTCCAGCTGTGTTCAATGCTGATAGGATGCCAACGCGCATGCCAACGCGCATGCCAACGCGCATGCCAACGTGGATGCAGTGGGCTCCATGGCGAGCCAGGTGCCTTTTTGAGCTGAGAAACTGAGAAGCGACCCAAAAAGAGGTTCTCTTCGACTCCCTCGCGCTTGACGGGACCAGCTTCCAGCGGCGAAAGAACCGGTCTCAGCGCATCGCGGGCGGGCGCAGTACGCAGTGGCTACGGCGAGCTGAGGGCCCCGAGGGCCAAGATCTCCGACCCCGCGGCCTGGGCGGGGGCGCCAGGGGCGCCAGGCGCTGGCTTGCAACGACGCCTCCAACGCTCGCGTTGCAAGGCGGGCGTCGATCGCGAGCTTCGGATCCGCGGGGGTGTTCGGTCGCGTTGCCAGGCCACCATGTCTAGCGGTTCCACCAGCGAGGCAAGGGACGGGGAGGCAAGGGGAGACACCGATTTGAGAACAAGCTCAACGGAACTTGACCATTTCAAGCTCGACTTGGGAAAGCTGGGGGGGCTCTCAGTGGCCCCTAGCCAGGAAAGCAACAGGAAATCCGATCTTCCAGAGCTGGAAGCTGGAGAGGGACTTGAAGTTAGTGTGGGCCTTGCTCATCTGTTTTTGGTATCCTAGTGTAGCCCCCCCCCCTACGCAAAAACAGCATTTTTCAACCATGTTTTCACTATTCAAATTATCATCCTTATTCATTATGCATATTTCCACTCAAAGCATTTCATAACAGTCTCAACCTCAAATTCTTTCAAAAAGTCACATTTTTCCCATTTATTCCATCATTCATGTCATTGTTAGGATGCTGGAGTGGAAATAGGAGTATAGGGTAGTTCATAGGATATGGTTATTGGATGGTATAAAAGATGGGGAAGGTTAAGTTCATTCATTTCAAAGAATAAAATTTCAAACAAATAGCAAACAATAAATTTTCAAAAAGTAAATTTTCAACAAGTAAATTTTCAAAAAAACAATAAATTTTCCAAAAAAAAGTAAATGTTAAAAACTACAGTTTCACAAAAAATAATTTTTAAAGAATATTATTCCAAAAATTATGACAACATATTTTACAATATGTTTTATAATAAATTTTGTAGAAATATTATGGGCAAGGTTAGGTAGATAGAAAATACAAATTTCATAATACAATTCAATTATCATGACATGTGTATGGAAAGATGGGGAAGGTCCAGTGCGTTCAATCTAAGGTATTAAAGGTTTGATTTTGTGCATGTTTGCTGTTAGGTTCTGTTGTTGGTTTGTTTTCTGTTCTTTTTTGCTTTCTTTAGTTGCTTTGGCTTTTTCTCTACATTCCTTGCAAGTTTTGTAAACTATTTCTGTCATATTCACTCTATCATACATTTTATGAAAGTCTCTTCTGGGTTTTGCTTCATCACATCTACTACATGGATAGACCATAGTGCAACCCAATTCTTCTTCAGCATCCGAATGGCTCATAATATTATACTATATTATTATTTCTTTAAATACGTTATATACACGAAACAACCTTTAAGGTAATGTAATGTATGAACCATGTTTTTATTATAATTACACCATATAATATTTTACATGTTATAATTATACTATGAGTTCAACTTTATTAACTGTTTGTTCCAAATTCCATTTAGTTAGCGATACAGTGCCCTGTCTCGCATTTTGACACAAAAACCCCAGCCTTGGGAACTTTGTCAGGGAACTTTGTCAGACACTTCCCTATGCTTGGGAACTTGGTCAAGGAAGTGTTTTCCATCAACAACTGGGTAGTCTCTGTGGTGTTTGAATATGTTTCCCATTCCAAACCTTCCCACAATTCCTTGTACACAATGGTCGGGGTCTGAGCCTGTTCCGCTAAACATCTCCAATAAGTTCATTATTAAAGATATTTAGATAATATTCTCAATGAATAAATCCCTGTATCTTCATCATAGTCAATTTGATAAAATGTCATAGTGGAAGACTTCGGTTCTTTAATTTCTTTGTTATTAAGTTTACTTAAATAAATATTTCTTGTATTTTTATATTCGCCACCGGTTCGATCTACTTCTTTACTTTGATGACTGTCTGTTAATGGTTTCTTCTTTTCCATTTCTTGCAATATTTCCAAAATATTCTTATTCTGTTCTAAAACCTTTTTTAGTTGTTTAACAATGTTATCTAATCCTTCATCCATTTCTATATATACTATATTATAAAATACAACTTTTAAAACTAAATGTTTAAATTATGTTAAACCTACTCTTTAAATACTATTCTTTCATCAATTCACGTATAGTTTCCTGTGTTTCGTTATCACCATTATCTGATGGTGATGCATGCCTTCCCCATTTGGTAGCAATATTATGAACATCTGTTTCTAAGTTGATACTGTCTTTAGTTTTATCAATATTCATTTTCTTATCATTTTTACTTATTTTGAAACTTGTTGGAATACACGAGCATGTACAAATTCCTTTCTTTTGAATTTCTAATTCATTTTTCATTTCTAACATCTTTTTACACATTGGACAAGCAAACTCAATAACTGATGTTTCTTTAACAATTTCTTCTTTTTCTTCATCAGTCGAAGAAGCAACTGGTTCTGTCTTATTCTTTTTCATTCTTCCCATTTATATTAATATTTGCATTTTTTTTTGATATATTGTATTCCTAGTTTAATTAATTCTAATGAATAATAACAGCATTTCTTAATTTAATTATCAGTTATTATTACTTGTTCTATATTCTCTACTTCATCTATTATATCAATATACTCTGAATAACTTCTATCCATTAAAATAATTATTTGAACTTATTGTTTCATGCACGGTAGAATATTCGGAGGGCGCAGCAATGGAGTTTTCTTTGCACCGGACAACGCAAGCGAGGTTCAAACTAATTCAAACTAAGTAGTCTCAATGCTTACGATTGAAGTTGATGAAAGAGCCTGTTCTACCACGATAGACCCCATTCATATCATAGCAATGCTTTCATACAATAAACAATGTTAAGCTATTTTCTATATATCTTTAATATCAACCATGACCAATGTTCCAATAATAAAACCACAACTGAATATGAATTCAAACAATCTAAATATGAGCACGTGCCACAATTACCATTTAGAAGTATTATAGTTGCGAGTTCGACGGGAGGCAAAACAGTCTTGGTTCAGAACCTTATCTTAAATGTTTATAGAAATTCATTTGCAAGAATATTTGAATTTCCCCCAGCCTTCATAATGACCCAACCTTTACAGAAGTTCAAAAACATATATCAGGGATGAATTGCACGTGGATGATGAAGAAGAACAGATTTATTTTCTGGGCCTGCGGCCTCTAGCCGGCTACGCCTCTTTGAAGTTATACCATGTCATGTCATTTTTTTTGTATGAGAAACGTATCCTGTGCTATGATATGGCTGGTTAGGTTATGCATGTTGCCCACCCGAACCCCAGATGATGCCGGGGATGCCAGCTTTCTGGGCCCTAGCCGGGACCCAAACCAGAAGGCTGACATGGGGTCGCGCGCGCGCACGCGCCAGAGGCCGCAGAAACAGCAGCCCAAGAAGAACAGCCCGCAAGCCAGCCAGGAAACGCAAATGCAACAAAACGCCGTAAATACGCGCGCGCGCACGCGCCAGAAGGCCCGAAAACCATCGCGAAAAAAGCAAGGACCGCGCAGCACGCGAGCCAGCCACAGCAAAAGCAAAACGGACCGAACAACAGCCCACCGCTCAGCACAGCAGTTTTTGACGGTATTTACAGCGTTTTGTAGAGGAGGACCCAGCATCGCCGGCCAAAATGCGCGAAAATGAGCCTCGCTTACACCCCTCCGACACCTTCTCAAAAACAGTGCTTTTTGGGCTGAGAGGCTTTTTGGAAGGAAGTCTTGATGATGCAGACCAAGCCCCGCTGAAGCATCACCCAGGCCCAACCCCAGACCCTGATGATGTCAGCCACATGGCCTAAACCCTGCATATACGCGATGTTTTGCGAGGGTTTCCCACAGGCAAGCAAAACCGCAAGCCCGAGCTGGTGATGCAGAGGTGCCGGATTTAGGCAGGGCGTCACGACCAAGTGGCGAGGGTCGGCGGCACCAGGGTGCACCCCCTATAGCGGCGACATGCTAATCCAAGGAGGTGTAGCCGGATTTCCGCCGCCCCCGCGGGGTTACTGTCCTGTATGTTGGCCTTTGAGGTGGACTCCGGGGTCTGTGGATGCTTTGGCCGGCTTTGGTAGGCTCTTGGTTCCTTTTTGGGCAGCGTTCCTTTGCCTTTTTTTGGACTTTCCGGTACGGGGTCTGCGGATATTCGGGCTGCCCTTTGGTATTGGTCCTTTTTTTTGTTGGGGGACTTGCCTGTATACTGGTATCTTTTTTCTCTTTTTTTCGACGTTCCTGCATGTTGGTGTTTGAGGTAGATCCCGGGGTCTGCGGATACTCGGGCTGCCCTTGGTAGTGTTTCTTTTGTGTTTTTGGGGGACCGTCTGTATGTCGGTGTGTGAGGTAGACCCCGAACTCTGCGGATACTCGGGCCACTGCTGGCTTCTTTGTTTTTGTGTTCGGGGGGACTGACCCCGAACGCTGCGGACACTCGGGCCACTGCTGGCTTCTTTGTTTTTGTGTTCGGGGGGACCTCGCAAGCCACTACCAACAGCAGCCCGAGAATCCGCAGACCCCGGAGACCAAAATACAGGAAAGTCCCCCCCAATAAAAGAAACACTACCAAAGGCAGCCCGAGCATCTGCAGACCCAAGGGCTACCTCACAAACCAACATACAAGACTTCCTTTTCTTGCGACGTTCCTGTATGTGCTTGTGGTTGGGTTTCTTTCCTTTGTTTGGGGACTTCCTTCCTAAAAAAGGACACAGACAGACACACACACACAGACACATCGGAGTTTTGCGCCTGTCCGATGCGCCACGGCGGGGCGCTTCGAGATTGCGGAGCTGCTGGCTCATGGTCAGACCGTGTTTGTCGGTCTGAGAGCCCCAGTTAAAAGCCGTGCCCTCAATCGTTCCCCAGCGGAAAGTTATTGGGTCGAAAGGCCCAAATAGGCGCTGGGGTGGTTTGGAGGCTTCATTCTGTTTCCCGAAAAGCTGGTCGGAAAGTTCTTTGTTTGGAAAATCCAACTAAAGGGTGCTGCTTTGAGTGTGTTGAGGTTGAAACAGCGAAGAGAAATTAAGACATCCAACCACAAAGTCAGAGACCCAAATGTCAGACATCACCGCGCAAAGAGTCAGACATCACTGCGCGAAGAGTCAGACATCGCAGCACGGAGAGTCAGACATCATAGCCGCCGACACCCGCCGCCCGCCGTGCGTCAAGATCACAACTTGCCACCCGACACCATGTCTGTTAGCTTGCCTTCCTGTGTGACTGCTTGTCTGCTTTTCTTTCTCCTGCCTGGTGCCTGTCTGCGCGCTTGTTTGCTTGCTTG